TTTTGTTCACACGCATCAGTTTCAGACATGTTTTTTTACGAATTTGAATGATAAATATATTTAACCTACCCCGCCCTTCGCGGATAATGCTACGTTTAACTCATTTTCTTTTTTGGGTATTTGTGTCTCGTACCTAGAATTCACAATTCACAAACGAATATCAACATCACTTTTGCTCGTTGCCCATCAGGTGCTCCAGGAGAATCAATGAATCAATCAAATGCCACCTGGTCAGTTGTTGGATAAATGAGTGGTTGATCCCACCAGAACGGTTGTTTTTGATTCACATGGCCGCAATTACTTGATATCATTCCCTGGGAGAAAGCCCTGGCAAGAGGTAAGCCGCTCCTAGGAGATGCCACTCGTGGTGGAAGGTAGTGGTAGCACGACGCTTGGTCTCCGAACTGACAAAAAACGTCAAAGGGGGCTGGCAGGGGGCGGGCATGACCTGCTCACCGAATCGAATCCCTTGAATTCTTCATAGGGACGTCGCAAAGCCATCAAGCCAATTTCAGACGTTCTGGATAGGCCGTACGGCCGCCTGCGACAGATGAAGTTCACAAGGTCATAGGCGGTCTTAGTTCCGTCCAAGGAAACGTATTCCACAAGATATGTCATATTTTCCGGAAGGCATAAACCCATGTCTCCCATCTCACCCGCATGGTTTGCTGACGGCCAGTTAATAATGTTGACCACGCTTCATCTCTAGGCTTCCCCTACTTCCCCTAACCCCCCCTCCCCGGAAGATTCAATGCGTAGTTGAAAGTGGACCCTGGGAAATTATCATAAGGCAGGATAAGCCATATTATACCCATGGAGAAAACACAAAAACGCTAGCGATGTCATTCCGCTGTCCTCCACTGTTGGTATTCCGCATCGCAGGAAATGCTAAAAAATGCCCTGCGTAGTTAGATGGCCTGGATTTCTTGTTTGTGCTCCTCGCCGCCCACCCTGTTGGGATAACATTTCACTGTTTCGCCTCTGCGTGCTCTCTATATGGTAAGTTCCCATCGATGGTCGGATTGCGCAATTTCCTCAGGCTTTCAAAATGTACATTCCTCTTCATTTTTGATTTCCGCCCTTGCTCAACCTGTTCCCTATAACTCGATTCTCCAGGTTTGCTCGCTCCCGCCTTAGCTAGGTATTTTTTTTTTTTTGAAGAAAATATGTAACTTGTCGTTGCATTGCTAAAAACAAGATCCAAAATCCTTGACTAATATCGATAGCCATAGAATAAGCCTATCCAACCTAGCCAGGCAACCAAACTTAAGACTCGGCAGTTGCCAAACAGCATACCTGGGACCCCGCAGAACATCATATCTTCCGTTACAAAATAGCATACGGGAAGGATGAAGATAACTGTCCGAAGTAGCTTATTTTTGTCACATCCAATGGGAGAGCATTTTGAAACGGTGGAAGCAGGCTTGCAAATTTATGACCTCGCATTTTGCTGCCTCTGTCTGCGTAAATTCAATATTTACTTACCATCGGCGTTAATTGCCTGGATTTTTCGAGACAATGTTTCTCCAGGCTTCTACAGAGCGAAGTGGTTGCTCAGAAGCGGCCAGCCCAAATAAGGAAGTCGGGCAACACTCCGCTAGCGATCTGGTGAAATTCTCGGCTTTCACAAGGTCCCAGATAAATATCTCACAACCACTAACAACAATTTATCAAGAACAACCAGATATTGATTGCTTCTCGTGGCATCGCGCTATTTTGGGATCCGGTCTTGGCGGCTCTTGTTAAATGAAGACGCCACACCGAGCGGCCTGAGCGTGTGAAACCCGCATCTTTCCTTCGTCATTGCTAATAAATCCCCGGTGAATTTTCTGTTGGAAAACCATTGAGCCGGTCCTCAAGGATTAAACATGACAATTCCCCAGCATCAATTACTACTCTGCTCTCTGTCCCGGTGTTCTACGCAGCGTAACCCTTGTTTGTCGTTGTTCGCCTTCTACGCCGAAGACATTCGCATCCAACTAATGTCATTGACCGACCCCCGTCGCCCGCGATATCACGGGTGTTTACATCAAACACTCAGGATTACTCCTCAAAAGTACCTACGTAAAACGACCTCATACGCAAGCAGCTTTTTCTCCAGGAAATTTTTAATATGCCAGACGTCTCAGGGACCAAATGATCCCAGGGTGTGAGCAAGCTATGAAAATTTAATAGAGCATAAGGCATAGCACCGTAAAAAAAAGGTCCCCACCATACACTGATAAACCAACCAACCATCCAACCCCCACCCCCTCCCGCGCCCCAGGATTAGCCCGAGCTGAAGATGATTGATGTTTTTTCACGGCGGGTTCAGCGGAGTATCACCTGGAGCAGCACTACAGGAGCATGGGAGAATACATGATTTATTTTACCTCTAGCTACCAGGATCAAGGAAGACGGCCATTCTGCTCCACAATTGTATTCTACCCATTTGCTTGATTCTTCCGTTAAATCAGCTGCCTGCCGATTATCACCCTATATTTGTAGGCACCTGCTTTCGGTCTTGTGTCTATCACCCGGAAGATATCTTCCCTGCGTACACAGAGTACCCATACCGACCATAACAAGCGATCCTCCTTCCGGAAAAGGGAGGAGCGTAGAACTACTAAGGGCATGCATTGGTTGCAGTGATCGCTATGTTGTTTCTGCGGAGCTATAAAGGGAAGCACTGTATCCGGCAGGATGTGGTGGGCATGCTGCTTAGTTTTGCTCTTTTTAGATATTGATCTTCCCCCATTGGAAAAATTTCGAAATATACATTTCAATTCTTGAAAAGCGACCCTGGTCTGACTATTCTAACATGAAGCTCTCCCTTCTCGCTCCCCTGGTGGTGGCTGGTCTGGCGATGGCCGAATTTCTCTCTCGGGACGAGAAAAATATGATGCAGATGCAACGTCTCATGGACATGAAGCTCGCTGCTCGGGAGAAGCTAATTAAAGATGGAGTATTTGATGAAGGGCGATTCAAATCTATAAACACGCCCCAACGTTGTGTTAATGGCAAGGCTGGCGAGTTCAGCTGCAACAATGTCGATATGACTGCCTTCCTAAGCCATGAGGACATGGGGAGTACGACACGAACAGGAAATGATATTTGGGGTACATTGCACTGCATTCCTTTTTGAGTCATTTCCTGGAATTGTCTGCTGACTCGAAACTATGTAGGTTGGAATGCCGACGATGGTCGTGAGTTTGCCGCAGTCGGACAGAGTGACGGCACCGCATTTGTCGAGGTTCTCGAGAACGGCCAGCTTAAATACGTAGGCCGGTTGCCCACGCAGACCGAGGCAAGCACATGGCGCGACATGAAGGTCATTGATGGTTATGTCTACATTGGCTCTGAAGCCCCGGGTCATGGATTGCAAGTCTTCGATATGCGTAAGGTATGAATAAGTACCACTATTCTCCCTTCTATCTCTCTTAGGCAGAAAGAGACGCTTACCTGTGGTGAGAGTATATAGCTGGCTGAGGTGGAAGGTACGCCAGTTACCTACGATATCAAAAAAGATCTCACCGCCTGGTTCAACGGCTTTGGCAGCTCTCACAATATCGTCGCACATGAAGACACCGAAATGATCTATGCGGTTGGTACGGGGCGAAACACCTCATGCAAAGGTGGCTTGTTTATGGTTGATGTTTCTAACCCTGCCAAGCCCAAATCTCCTGGCTGTGTCAGTGAAGATGGATACGTGCATGACGGTATGTACCTTTCTTTCTGCGGCCGAATTTTCTTTTTTCTTTTCTTTTTTTCTTTTCTTTTTTCAGAGAAAATGCCTGGTCTAACACATTCAACCCAGCCCAATGTGTTATTTACAAGGGCCCAGATAAGAAATACACTGACCGCGAGATTTGCTTCAACTACAACGAGGACACCCTCACCATCGTTGATGTAACCGATAAGTCTAACCCCGTGCAAATCTCCTCAACCCCATACGACGGCGCCTCCTACACCCACCAGGGATGGGTTGCTGATGAGAACATGGAATACCTGCTCTTGGACGACGAGCTCGATGAGGCAGATGACACCAGCCCAGGCAAGCCGGGTCACACCACCACTTACATCGTCAGCATCTCCAACCTCGCCCAACCTAAGTTCACGGGCTACTATCAGTCCCCCGTCAAGTCAGTCGATCATAACCAGTACGTCCTCGACGGCATCACATATCAATCTAATTATGCTTCTGGCTTGCGCATTGTGGATGTTTCCACCGTGGCCCAGGATGCAACGGGTAAGGGATTTAAGGAACTCGGTTTCTTTGATTGCCATCCAGAGGATGATGCTGCTGGCGGTCAAGTTGAGTTTATTGGCTCGTGGAGTGTGTATCCCTATTTCAAGAGTGGGATTATTGTGCTTAATAGCATTGAGAGGGGTCTTTTTGCGTTGAAGTATAACCCTGAGTAGAGCAGGGTGTTTTGGGGTAGAGGTTACGTTGAAGCCATTGACTTTCAAGATTTCATGACATGATCATGGGATCATGGGCCAGGTTTCTGCAGTAGGGGCTACTTGTTTGACCTTGGAAAAAGTAGTTCATGAATTTTGTGCATTGAAGCTGCTCGGAATTTCGTGCATACGTGAAACTTTAATAAATCGATTCCATTTACAAATGTATTTGTTTCAAAGTAGCTCGGGTTTGAGAAAAAGGCATATAAATAATATACTCAGTATATATTCGCAAATTTGTTACAGTTCATTTCAAGATATATATATACTATAGATACCAAACCTGGGGCTGGCAACGAAATACCCAATAAAAACACCACTGGCTCCAAGCTAATAATATTTTATCAAATTCCAAGAAATCAACAGACAGTTCATTACACTTATTATTGACATTAAGATAAAAGGGTTTCATTTTGTTATTATTTATTTTTACCCTACAGATTTTTTTATTTTTTTTTATTTGTGTAATCCGTATTCCGTAATCCGTAGAGAAGGAAGGGTTGATTGACACCCGTCCCTTATAAAAAGTTCTAGATGCCAGCCTCCGTCAACCAACTACAGGGAAGATGGCCGAGTGGTTATGGCGCTACGTTCAGGTCTTGGCACAAAAATCAGCTGATTTAAAGTCCGGGCTTCGTAGTAGGGCAACCTGCGTGGGTTCGAGTCCCACTCTTCTCATCATCTTATTTTTTAATGTGGAGTATATATATTTTTTAGAATATATTTTTGAAAAATTTGAGCTCAGAATTTATTTTAACTTGTTTGTCCTTTTTTCCTTTCTTCTTTATTCTGCATTTACATTTACATTTACATTCTACTTTTTTGTCATGAAAAACATTGCGAAAAAATCCCAAGTGAGAAAGACCTTCTGGTTTCCATTGTCATTTGATCGAACCACCGCGTTTAATTTCGCCTATTCCTTCATTCGAAGCCATTAGAACGGATTTTGTGAAAGCTTACTACTTCCTAGAGACGTAAGGCCGAGAACCAAGCTCTGCATCTGAGTACAACAGAGTACGGAGTACTAATATTTAAATTTTTCAAAAATACTCAGTTCATTTGCGTACTTCTTCTTCACAAAAATTAAAAAACAGTAATGAGGAAAGAGAAAACTCATAACATAATATAATGTTTTATTCAATTCAATTTAGAAAATTTTGATTTCTCGGCATCTCAGATACTGATAAAACAACTAAACCTATTCTACTAAATATTTAAAATGAAAAAACTTGCTTCAACTCATTCCTACAAAAGACATCAGAAAATGAACTGAGAAATGAAGACTTTGCTCAAGAAAACATGATAAGATCTTT